CTCCCCCTTTTCGAGAAAAAAACTTTCTTGGGCATCTAAGATTTTTGTTCCGTGTTTTTTGTCTCGAGTTATTTATTTAGATTGACATGTTTGAATTCCCGGATCTTAACGAGCATAACATAGGGCAATTCTAATCGTGCAAGTATGACCGGAGCGCCAAAAATTAGTTCTCCGGCATAGGTGCACATATTCGCTTCTCTTCATCGATGGCGGTTGCAATCTTGCCACACTGGTCCTACGGGGGCTTAGCACGACAACTTGCCGACTGTCTACTACAATAAGGTTTGCCCTGCGTTGGTGAGAGGGAGACGATGACGGCGACGTGCCTTCGGCTCATTTCGGTACTTTTAGTCATCGTTAGGTGGTTTACGGACCTAGATGTATTTTTTTACTTATAAATGTTCTTTGTACTAACTTAACAGTTGATATGAATAGATCGAAAGTTTTTCACGCAGAAAAAGAAAGCTAAGAGAAAATGAACGCTCTCGTGTCAGAAGAAGTGCGAGCAGGCCGGCCCATTAGCGTAAGGATTCGCTCGTTGTACGTTCGCTATGCTCCTGTTTTCTTTGGGATTTTTTCGCTTTCTTTTGTTCCTTTCGTCATTTCTTTTAATGTTTTCATTGGTTTCCTTAATTTCTTTTTGTTATCACTTATGTTTTCTTTATTTGTCTTGATTTGTTTTTTCTCAGTTTTTACTGGTTTTCTTCTTCCTTTTTCTTCATGTTTTTGTTTTCTTTCTTTCTTTCTTTCTTCGGTTTTCTTCATTTTGCTTCTTTTTCACCATATTTCTTTGGTTTTCGTTGGGTTCTTTCTTTCTTTCCTTGTATGTATTGTTCCTTTATGCTTTTCATCTGTTTATCTTCGCTTTTAGACCCTTCTTGATGGTTTTTTTCTATGTGTTGTCTGTATCTTTTTCCTCGGTTTTCTACGTACATTTTTCATGCACATGTGAAACATTTATTTTTATACACGTTAATATTTTTAAAATACACAATTAACATTTTTTAAACAAATGTCTTTTACGTCTACATTTTTCATATACATTAAGAATACTTTTATACATGTTTAACATTTGTTAATACATGATTAGCATTTTTAAAATACAATCATTAACATTTCATTGAAATACGAGTTTGATGTTTACTTTCTTGATAAACATTCCAATTTTTTCATATACATCTGAAACATTTATTTTATATATGTTTAACATTATCCAAATGCATGATTAACATTTTTTATACATTTTTTTGAAATGTGTGAACATTTTAAAAATGTCACAAAGATATTTGTATGCTATCAACATTTTTCATATACATTTGAAACATTTTTTAAATACTTGATTCATTTTTTCCATATATATGTTTTGATGTCTACTTTTTTCATTCATATTTACTTTTTTGTATCACCAGGAACATTTTTATGCATGTTGAACATTTTTTAAATACATGATTAATATTTGATATATGTTTTGATGTCTATTTTTTTCATACACATTGTACATTTTCTGTATACACTAGAAACATTTTTCTATACACATTTAAATTATGTATGTAAATTTATTTTTATAATAGATATATTTGGAATATTTCGAACTATAACCAGAGGTAAAATAAATAAAGCAAAAATGTGAGAAGAAACGAAAGGAAAAAATTGCTCAATTCCTGCAGTCCCTGCTGCGACGGCCCATTCCGGGCGCCGCTCTTCCTGCTGCTGCCGCCGCCGCCGCCGCCGCTAACGCCCATCCTGCCGTCCTCTCCGCGCCAGTCGCCGCCGTCTTCGCACCAGTCGCAGCCGTCTCCCATACCGTAGTCGGCCCTCTCATCGTGTCCCTCCTGCCTCCTTGCCACGCCCATAAGCCCCCGAAGCAGGGCGCGTCGGGCTCGGCTCCGACGGGGGTCGCCGCCGATCGTGGCTCTCCTTTTTCCTCGTCGAGCGCACCGAGGACGAGCGGGTAAGGCTGTCGTATCCCAGCTCCCGGACTTCGCCTCTTCCCATCAGAGGCTCACCTCCAGGCCCTCCACCGACCACCAGCGAGGCACTCACCGGCACGGGCATGGCGGCACCCACGCGGTCACTCATGCAAAGCCGTTTGACGCCGTTTCAATCGACGGCAGCGAGCAAGGTGACCGCACCATCGACCATCCCCGATCTTGTCCCTTTTCATCTCTGTTGATCTATGATCCTGATGTATATAGAGTGGTCCAAAATGCAGTTGCTTTACAAAATCGAGTTACTCTGATGTATTGATCGATTGAATTGATGATGTCCAAAATTCAGTTGCTCTGATGTATTGAACTATTGATCGATCGAAGCAATCCAAAATCCAGTTGCTCTGATGTATCGATCGATTGATGCACCATGCTGTCCAAACTTCCAGTGGCATCGTAGTATTTCCCTCTCCGATGCGTTGACATTTTAGTACTGTTGAATTGACCTAACGCACCATTAGGGGGTGTCTGATCACATGTAATGTAAGTTACATTGTTTGGATGTCCAAAAGTTCAATGTTTTGTTGGACAAAAGTTACAAGGAAATAAAATGCAACTACGTAACTTCCAGTTGATATACTTCAGTAACTACAGACTTTTCGTTGGTTGAAAACAGCCGGCAAAATAAGCCTTTCACCTCATGGGTTACTAATTTGGTAAGGAACACTTGCTAGACGGCCCAAAAAGCATTATTTCTACTCCTGACGCATGATAGAGCTCATATTCAGTAAAGAACGTGACTCTAGTGAATGATGTTTCCCTAAGGATTTGAACTTACCGCCCCAGTCAGATACACAGTCTTGACACATAGGAGCGCCTCCCGTTATTTACTTTTCACCTAAAAACCAGCATTCATGCTTTTGCGTCCACATTTACCAGGCATCTTCCCGGTGGCCGCATGCAGCAGTCAAGTCAGTTCTCATCTACCAGCCATGTGCATCTTCCTGTTTGAAGGACAAGCACAGCACAGCACAGGGAGAGTGGTGCTGGAGAGATGACGAGTCATCAATGATGATGCAGGTACTCTGATTCTGGCCCAACGCGGTTCACGCTGTTCACATGAAAAGTCGGGATGGTGGAGCAAAGATGCAAGCACCGCGGTAGGTGTTGTCAGGATCAGCATTATTACGGTAGTGTTTCATCAATTCTGAACCCTCCTACCTAGTGCAAGATTAGCAAGCGATCTAAGACACTACAGTAGTTTTGGGAGATTTTAGAGCAACTCCAATGGGCGATCCATTTCGTCTATCCGCGTTCGTTTGGGTCGGCGCGGACAAAAGTGGCGGCCCAACGCGCCGATCCAAACTCAAATCGTGTCCGCCAGGCATCCGCGCCGATCCATTTTCGGCCCAAATTTGCGCCTGAAATGCGTCGGCGCGGACGCGCTGCGCGTGTCCTCGCCGTCCGTCGCGTCCCCACCTGGTGGCCGTCCAACTACGACGGTCAACATAATTTATGACGACCGTCCACCTTGGGCCCACATGTCAGCGACAGCAGTCGTCCTTTTTTAAGCCGGGCGTGCGGCGGGGCTGTCCTCATCCACTGCCACTCGCCCCCCGTCCCCATCTGGCCACCCTTGCCCCCACGCCGGTGACAACCCTAGCCACCGCCAGCATGGGCTTCTTCTCCGGCATCGGCAGCAGCCGCAAGGGCAAGGTCTCCGCCCGCCATTCCCCCTCCCTCCCCGCGCCGCCGCACGCTCCCCGGCAGAGGTAGCGCATCAATGTGTCGTTGCATCAGGCCGAGTGGCCCCGGCACCACCGCGTGCCTCTGCCGTACCCCGACGTGACGCTGCCGCATGACTAGCATTTGGATCCGGAGAGGATCCCAGTGCCGGCGGCACCGCGGACGGCGAGGGCCCATGTGGAGGAGGTGCTGCGCCGGCGGACGTTGCTGACGTCGGAGCAGCGCGCCGAACCGCACTACGCCGTCGACTCACCCAACTGGGCTCGATGGTTCGCCGTCGAGCACGAGAAGGCGAGGCGAGACGGCGTCCGCGGCGTCGACCGCAGCCTGCCGCCACCCGCGCTCGTCGTCCGCGACGAGGACCAGGAGGCCGAGGCCGCCTGCCAGGAGGTCATTAAGGAGAGCGAGGAGAAGGAGCGGTGGAGGGAAGCGGATGAGGCGGCTTTCGAGGCTGCCATGATGGAGGCCACGGCCCTCTCCGCGACGGGCGACTGCGTCGTGCCGCCGGTGACCCCGCCGTCCCCGCCCAAAGCCGAGCCGGAGGAGCCGGCCTACCTCGAGCGCTACTCCTGGACCGGAGTAGTGCCCGAGTGGATTAGCGCTCCGCCGGGCTGGCTCGGGGCGACGGAGAAGCAGGAGGCGGCCTACCTCGACCACTGGCGCCACATTCGGTTGGCCGAGGAGCGCCGGAAGGGCGAGCGCCTGCAGATGCTCGAGCGCGAGGCCGAAGAGGAGGCGCGCCAAGCCCAGGCAGCGGCGGCGCAGCCCGACATCGCCGCCCTCTGAAACACGGCGTTCCCCTGGGCCGACCCTGCGCCAACACTGATCGACCTCACCGGCCCCGACGTAGACGTCGCCGCTGACGAGGACGCCTAGAGCAGCGCATCGTCTAGTTTTTAGTTTTTTTATGTTAATTAATGTAATGTGGACTTTCGCCGGGCTTTGTAACCGGTTTTTATGTTTAATTAAATGCATGTATTTATTTTTTAAATGCTTGCAAGACTTTTTTTTGGCGCGCCGATGAAATGGGTTGGGCTAGCGTTGGGCGCTCGCGCCGACCCAAACACAGCGCCAGTCGTTTGCTCTTAGTATACTGCTCTAGTTATTAGTAGAGATTAGTCTCTTTCAAAATATATTTAAGAATTTAATGTTGCTAGTTCGACGACTTCAGCAAGTTTATGGAACTGATTCAACAAATTTCATTGTGTACCAATTCAGGAATTGTGTCTTTTGTCAAAAAATGAGAATTTAATTATAGAAATCCAGTGAAACTACTGATGTTTATTTCCTCTCGAACAGAGGCACAGAAGAGAGCAGGGGAGCACGATGAACAGTGAAGACGCCGGCACACTTACTATCTCCACGTCATTTCCTTCTCTTTCCACCGACGGCCACTATCCCCTCTTCTCCCCTCCCCACAGCAGCCTTGGCGAAAGAGCTCCACAGGGGAGGCGACGGCGCGCTGGATCTGATCGATTTTGGGTGTCGCTCAGGTGCATGCTCTCCTCCATTCTTGATTCTTGGGTGTATTTCTATCTTCTTCGGTTGCTCCTCTATCAGTGTTGAATCCTCCTCCCCTTATTTCGAATGCTGTATGCAGTTTCTTGACTTCTTCCCCCGATCTGCAGCACCATGGCCGAATCACTGCTTCTCCCTTTGGTGCGCGGCGTGGCCGGCAAGGCCGCAGACGCGTTAGTCCAGACCGTGACCCGGATGTGTGGCCTCGAAGACGACCGCGAAACGCTGGAGCGCCATCTGCTGGCCGTCCAGTGCAAGCTGGCCAACGCGGAGGGAAGGAGCCAGAGCAATGCCTACCTCAGGAGCTGGATGGAGAAGCTCAAGGCCGTCGCCTACGAGGCCGACGACGTCCTCGACGACTTTCAGTATGAGGGGCTGCGCCGTGAAGCCCGGATCGGCAAGTCCACTTCCCGCAAGGTACTCAGCTATGTCACATACCACAGCCCGCTGCTCTTCCGTTTTGCCATGAGCAGGAAGCTCAAGAGTGTCCTTGAGAAGATCAATAAGTTAGTTGAGGAGATGAACAAGTTTGGCCTTGAGAATTCTGTCCATCAGCAGGAGCCCCAACTTCCTTGGCGGCAGACTCACTCCAAACTGGATGAGTCCGCCGACATCTTTGGGAGAGATGATGACAAGGAGAGGGCGGTGAAGCTGCTGCTAGATCAGCAAGATCAGCGTGAGGTGCAGGTGCTGCCCATCTTTGGTATGGGAGGTCTTGGCAAGACGACAATTGCTAAGATGGTGTACAATGACCAAGGGGTCCAGCAACATTTCCAGTTGAAGATGTGGCGCTGCGTGTCAGACAATTTTGATGTTGTTGCTATTGTGAAATCCATCATTGAATTGGCTACAAATGCAAGATGCGACCTGCCCGACAACATCGAGCTTTTGCAGAAGAAACTTGATGAAGTCATTTGCCAGAAGAGATTTTTACTTGTTCTCGATGATGTCTGGAATGAAGAGAAGACGATATGGGAGGAAAATTTGAAGCCACTGTTATGCTCCATTGGTGGACCAGGAAGTGTCATTGTAGTCACATGTCGAAGCAAGCAAGTGGCCTCTATAATGTCCACCGTTAAGCCCCATGAGCTAGCATTTTTGGATGAAGAAAATTCATGGGAATTGTTTTCAAACAAAGCATTTAGCAATGGTGTGGAGGAGGAAGCAGAGTTGGTCACCATTGGAAGACGTATTGTAAATAAATGCGGGGGGTTGCCTCTTGCACTGAAGACAATGGGTGGATTGCTGAGTTCGAAGCGACAAGTACATGAGTGGAAGGCCATCGAAGAAAGTAACATTGGGGATACTGTTGGAGGCAAATATGAGGTCATGCCCATACTGAAGTTAAGCTACAAACACCTGTCATCTGAAATGAAGCAATGCTTTGCATTCTGTGCACTTTTCCCCAAGGATTATGAGATGCAGAAGGATATGTTGATCCAACTATGGATGGCAAATGGCTTTATTCAAGAAGAGGGAACAATGGATTTAACACAGAAAGGAGAGTTTATTTTCCATGAATTGGTTTGGAGGTCGTTCCTGCAAGATATAAAAGTTGTAGTCAAATATACTAACTTATTTTATAGCTCAAAATATGAGACAGTAGTGTGTAAAATGCATGACTTAATGCATGACTTAGCCAGAGATGTTAGCAATGAATGTGCCACCATAGAAGAATTGACTGAACTGAAAGCATCTGTAACAAATGTCCGTCACATGCAAATGTCAGAGGATGTTGAACTGGAAAAGATCTCTGGGTTGTTCGATGGAAAAACATCTCTCCGCACTTTGTTAGCCCCTTCAAAAGTGAACAGGGATTTTAACCGGCTGCAACAAGTATCATTACGGGCATTGCATTGGCAGATATCTTGCGCCAATTTCAAGGCCGTAAATGGAAAACATTTACGGTATCTTGACTTCTCGACTTGCAGCGTCAATGCTACATTGCTAGATTCAATATGTCTACTTTATAACCTACAAACACTGAGGCTCGTTGGTTGCTTAGATCTACGACAGCTACCAGAGGACATGGTGATAAGCTTGAGAAAGCTCATACATCTTTATCTTTTTGGATGTTCTGCTCTGGAGCGGACTCCTCCAAACATTGGTCAGCTAAACAACCTTCATACACTAACAACATTTGTTGTGGATACTAGAGATGGTTGTGGTATTGAGGAGCTCAAAGAAATGCGGCACCTTAGCAACAGGTTGGAACTGTACAGTTTGAGAAAAATAAAGAGTGTACAGCATGCAAAAGAAGCCAACCTTCAGCAGAAGCAAAATCTGACTGAGTTGTTGTTCTGTTGGGGCCTTAAAAGACATGACAAGCCCAAGAATGAGGCATGTAATGAGGAAGAAGTGTTCCAGCATCTAGAACCTCATAGCAAGATCAAAAAATTTGAGTTGTATGGATATGGTGGCCCAGAAATACCACGATGGATGAGAGATCCTCAGATGTTTCAGTACTTAAGAAAACTCACCATTTCCAACTGGACAAGGTGTAAGAATATACCTGTAGTATGGCTCTCACCCTCACTACAGTACTTAACCTTGAAAAACATGGGTAAACTGAAGACATTATGTGACAACCTTTGCATAGAAGGTGGAGGACGCAGTACCCCTCTACAAATTTTCCCGAAGTTGAAGGAGATGGTCTTGAAAGAGCTATCTAGTCTAGAGGGATGGGCAGATAACAGTGCGGGTGTGTCTATTGATAGCTCAGTAATTTTCCCGGTGCTTGAGAAGCTAGAAATCAGCCAATGCTGTAAGCTTGCAAGTTTTCCACTGAGCCCCATTCTCAAAGACCTGACTTTATCGGGATACTTGGACGCGGAGTGTGTATGGGATTTTCCAAGGTTGCCTACATCCCTTGAAAGTTTGTGTATTCAATGCTTCGGAGGTTTGGTGGTGCTGCCTTCGAACCTTGGAGCTCTGGCAAAGCTGAGCAACCTAGTGGTGCATAACTGCAGGAGGCTGAAAGGGTTGCCTGACGGGATGGATGGCCTCACTTCTCTTCGGATATTGGACATCACTTTTTGTCCAGCGACGGAGGAATTCCCTAATGGTCTCCTTCAGCGGTTGCCAGCCCTTGACGCCCTAACCATATATGGTTGCCCTGAGTTGCAAAGACGATGCAGAGAAGGAGGGGAGTATTTCCACCACCTGGTCCCTATCCCACTTAAATCAGGATTCAAAACTAGATTTCTAGAAGCAGAAGCAGAATCCAGAATTATAGTACCAGAAGCAGAAACGAGCGGAAAGAAGTTTCTAAGAAGGCTCCTCCCCTCCTGCGCTCACTCGAAGTCTGACTCTGAGTCTGACGATAACTGAGGTGTGTATGCCACAAGTCCTTTACTCGTGTTATTATGGTTTAGTTAACTATCTTTCCTCGTGCTATATTCCAGCATAATATAAGTAACTCCCAACTGATTACTTTTTTTTTCGTTTTATAGGATCTGCTTATTCTGAAATCTTTTGATGTTCGGTCTCGGTGCCACATTCTGTACACATTTTTTGGACAAGTATGTGCCTTTTTCTGGACAAGTATATCTCATTGCTTACTGCTCTGTGCCGAAATAGCGTAAAGGGGTAAACTTCCGATCCAGTGACATCTCTAGTACTTCAGTGCCAGTACTTCCAAACCTAGTTCAGTGACATCTATAATACTTCCTGCTAGTGCCTAGTGTTAATCTGCTTGCTCCAGGTGGAGGCGCGGTTGCAGTTTACTGCAGATTCCCAATGATAATTATCTGTGCCACATCAACTCGGCACAGTACTTTATCTAGTTAAACATCTATTCTGCATCATAGATGAACACCAAAATTGCTATGACGCGATGACTAAATGTTTCCATCATCTTTATTTACCTCTCTCTGTAGTCGTCAAGGAAATTGGTTATCAGATTAGATACTGATTTACCTACAATTATCTTGCTTTGAACTGAATTCAGATACCACCTTTTGATGATAGAGCATCGGGAAAACTCAAGCTGCGAAGCAAATCCGCATGAGCGTTTATCCTGGTAAATCTCCCTACAAATTGGGTGGGTGATATGCTGACAATATTCAGGTATAATGTAAATGCTAATGTGATCAATCAATGTATCTGCAGGTTGGCATTTCTGAAAGCATCCACAAGATGAAGGAAGCAGTGCCCGTCGAGCAAAGTTGGGAACCCCATCAGCATGGCATATGATGAGTGTTGTCTTGATCAGTAGTATTTTCCTAGAGATTTTTCTCTACATGTGTGCGTCAGCGCAGGCAGATATGCCCTGATCCATTTTCTTGGCACGTAGGAGGGATTTTTATTTGCCTAGAAATGTGCAAATTGTCCCTCGGCTGTGAGAGCCTTTGTGTGTGTTGGCACAGCCTGTCCGGGTGCCGTGTGCCGTGTGCGTGTCGTTGTTGGGAATGTGGTGTGGCTGAGCCTGGATAGTGTGTGGTGTGTAACCCCTGTAGGTGTATAAACTTAGGCATTTGTCGAGTGCTTCGTCGGTTAAGGAAAAAAGCAAAGTCAGAGTTCCCCTGTCTCCTCTCTTCCCAGTTCCCCTTTCTCTTCACGCCTAGCAGGCTGAGTGTTACAGGAATGAAGCCCATGTTTATGGGAGCAAAACTTGTGCTTATTTCAGGAGGAAGAGTGCAACTATCGTATACTGAAGCGTGTCCGTAAAAAAAAAAAAGATATACTGAAGCATGGAAGCAAAACTTACAAAATGGTCCTTCACAATTTACTTTGCTGTGATAACAGTTCGTCTTCAGATCTTGTTACGACTATGAAACATGAATTTTCTTTGGTGTGTCGAAAAATACAGCTCCATCAGAATTCAGATACCCTTTCTTGGGCTTCTAATTTATCTTTCTTCCTCTTCGTCTGAAGTTCTTTATTTGGGTTGAGATGTTTAGATTCCAGGATCTCTACGAACTGTGCATAATATAGTGCAATTCTAATTTCTAAGTATACAAAGTACGACTGGAGGTCTGAAGCACCAAATTTAGTTCCACGGCATATGTGCAGTGCAGACGTTCAAGAATATTTAACCGGGTATTTTGTTATTCATTTCTCAACTAGGAGAAAATGAAGGGCTTTATTGTCGCAGCTATGGATGAGCTAAACAACTAAAACAGAGGCTTCTTGCCCTTCAAGAGATCCATGAGATGTTTGAAAACGTGTTTTCGGTGTTTATTTGTTTCACTTAATATGATTTTTTAAGTTGGAATTCGTTTATTCATGAACAAAATTAAATAATTTTGTGCACATTTTAAATAAATAAAATTTTAACATATTTACGAACATTTATAATATTTTATGATTTATAAAAAATGTGAACACTTAAAAAAAAATTATGAATGCTTTTTAGAAATTTCATGAATATTTGTAAAAATTCATCAATTGTTTTATAAAATTAAAAAAGTATTTAAACTCAGTAGTTTTTTCGCAAATAATATATGCTAATAAATATATATTTTTCCTTCCGGAAACTAAAAACCATTGAAAAATGTATAGGAAAGCCGTTCGTCCAGCCATCATGGATCACGAGTCCCATGAACGCTCTGTGTGCCGTCCCGCCGCGCGTTGTGGGGATTATTTCATTGGACCAATAAATCTAGAATGGTTTCACAAAAAAAAATTAGAAAGCCCAAGCTTTTCCTTCAACGCCTCGCCTATCACACACACCGGAGACCAAACCTTTTCCTTCAGCGCCTCGCCTATCCCAGTTTTGCGTCACAACGGCGCCGCCGCCGTTCCTTCCCAAGCACCCGCGGATGAAGACCAACGGCACAGCCCCTCGTTCCACAAGCAGTCGAATGCTTCTACTCATCAGCCCCGTAAAATTAGTTGTATGGGCAGATGGTATGTGTCCTCTCTGTTCACCGTTAAGTAGCTCCGTTCTTTCGCCTAAATTTTGCACACGCGGTAAGAAATTGAGTTACTCACATTATTCTAGTTTTGTGCTTAATTCTAGAGGTACTCATTTGGTTCGAGAGAGTGCTCAAGATAAAGCAAACTGTGGGTAGGTTAACTCAGTTCACCAGCAGCCTTGTTCACCGTGTGCCCCTTTTATTCTTTCTGCAGATCCAGCCACCGATCGACATCCAACCATATGATATCGAGGTGCTCTTATTCCTAGCCTTGTCTGTTTTTAAGCAACTTGTGTGTCTTCTAGAAAATATTTATCCGGTAACCATAGAAAAGGTAAGAAAGTAAACAGATAGATAGACAAGGAGCAATGGACGAGCAATTGATTTTATCCCATAGTAAGGCAGTAAGTTCAGCCATTCACTGTATAGATCCGGAGGATCTAGAAAATAAGTCAGAACATTAACTTTATATACCCTCTAAAAATATTGATTTTTTAGAAATAAAAAATATTGGATTTATATCTGACAGTAACACATAAGCTTCAGCAACAATCAGTTCCATCAAGCTTATTTGTGTTTTTAGGAGAAATGTGATTTGCTGAATAAAAAGTTACTTGGCAAAGTCGAAAGGGTGCCACATGTCCTTTTTTAGAGAAAAGGCTCGGCCAAACCCGAGTAGGGCTTGGACCTAATCCGGCTTTGAATTAACAAAGCCATCAACCTGCCAGGATACAACCAACAACACAAGCAAACCGAAAAGAAGAAGAAACAAGGGATGTAACCCCGACCGGCAGGTACACGGTGAGGAAGGTAAACAATCGGCTATGAAGCACGAAGTAGAAGCTACGACAACAAGGTCTCGGCCGTTAGTGCACCCGTAGCAGAGGAATCGCCGACGTCCCAAACACGAAGCACATCAGGAAGCTGCAGAAGGGCGAAGTCACCACCGGAGACACAACCGAAAGGGAGCACCACAGCCAGGAGACCAACCAGAGCTCACCAGGACCATCTGCCCTCACCACCAACACATCACAGTTGCCGGAGAGGGGACCCCTATCCCCTCTCGCCTAGGTTCAAGGGCGCCGCACCGCCGGACTCACTGGAGCACTTGAGGAAGGAGCACACCGCCTGGAAGAGACATCAGACTTGCCCGAAGCTATGACGTTGAAGATTAGACGGGCCACCACCAGGAACATGTCAAGCTCGCCACGCACACCCACCATCCCCATGCCCAAGGCGGCGCTTCAAGAAGGTGACGATGCCACAGTATAACTACACGGGCTAGGGTTTTCACCCGGGCACAGGGGGAGGGGGGAGGCAGGGGAAGATGAACCTCGGCGCCACCACCATGGAGGAAATGGCGTCCAGGCGCCATCGATGCCGTGACCGCCACTGACGGCCATGGGGTTTCCCCCGAACAAGCTCCCTGCCGCCACCACCAAACCAACCACCAGCATCAACAGGCGTGCATGCACACCAGAGATCCAGGCCGTCCGAGGGGTGCGGCGCACGCAGACCGGACGCGCATGTCCTTCCTGTGTCATTCATGTAGAGATTGACTTATGTGCAATGTTGATCTACCATATAGACCATTTTATTTATCCGAAAAAGGGTTTCCCCCCCGCTTTGTATTACAAAGCAAACAACTGATACAACCAACGATAGGTGTTGGGGCGGAAGCAGCACAGACATGCCCAAAAGAACTGAAAGAGAAAGACAAAAGAAACAAATGCCGACAACGGCGGATCGACAAAAACGAAGACGCCTCGCGACCACTGCGCCCACCGGAAATCTCCCACCTAGCTCCTAGACTCCGAAGCGCCGGTACCAATCAACACCTTCAAGAAGGGACGTGACGGTGACGACGCTGCTGCCAAGGGTTTCCCCCGATACGCGACGAGGAGAGAGGAAGGGTAGCCCCCGACGCCCTTCAGGGAGGTCCTGTGGCACCCTCAGGCACCACCGCGTCGTTGTCGGTCAAGCCGACTGGGATTTCTCCCGATCCCAACCTTGACCTCGGGCACTCCGGAGCCCGCCACCAAACCGACCACCATCCTGCACCAACATGGTCTTGAGGCTTCCACGCCGTCTCACCACGGCAACAACAAGAGAGGTCTGCACAGCGAAGAGCAGGAGTCGGGACTAGAGGCAGCAACACCGTCGGCACGCGGGAGGGCTCAAGCTCCACCATCAATGACGGTAGCCGACTGGATGCAATAGCAGGAGCATACCAGGACCATGGGCCCACAGGCCCTGCCAGGCCCTCATAGGCCCATGAAGCTCCCACCTTCGCGCTGCAGCAGGCACGCCGTCGGCATCGCCGCCCCTGGTCCAAGCTGCTGCTCCTCCCCACCGCGCAGAAGACACCGAAGCTGCGCCAGTGGTCGGCCCGCTAGGACCCAGATGGGGCCCGTAGGGCCCAGAACTAGGACGGGGGCGCGCCGCCGACCACCCCGCACCACCAAGCCGTCC